GGGGCCTTAATAATTAGGTTGGGGTTTAGGGTTTAAGGTTTAGGGTTTAGGGTTTAGGGTTTAATATAATCATAATAAGGAACCACCAAAATAGTAGTGCTAATTATCTAGGCCCCTATATTATCTTGACTAAAGCTTGCGGGGTGGTTCTAGAATTTAGGGCTCCATTTCGGGGCGGAAGCCGTAAAGCCCCTTATAACCCTGAACCCTAAACCCTAAACCCTGAACCCTGAACCCTAAACCCTGAACCCTAAACCCCAAAGCCTGAAGCCCTGAACCCTAAACCCTAAACCCTAAACCTTAAACCCCAAAGCCTGAAGCCCTGAACCCTAAACCCTAAACCCTAAACCCTAAACCCCAAAGCCTGAAGCCCTGAACCCTAAACCCTAAACCCTAAACCCCAAGCCCTGAACCAACCCCATGGCCTCATTGTAGGCGTGGGCCAGGTGCAAGCAGTAGTCCACACCTCAGTGCTCTTCGAGAGATTCGGGTTGATGTAGGGTTTAGGGTTTAGGGTTTAGGGTTTAGGGTTTAGGGTTTAGGGTTTAGGGTTTAGTAAGGTTGGGGCTTAGGGCTGTAGTTTGTGTTTCTGGGCGGCCCTATATAGAATAAACAGAACTGACCCTACTATAGAAGTTTCAATGGACCTCATAAGCAGCACCTTTAACACGTCAAGATTCCTGTCTCGATGTTCAACTCTACAGAGAAGCCCGGAAACACAAACGGCATTGGGATTACTCTCTAACCCACTTCGCACAGTTGATCTTGCAGACTGTACACAGATGCATTGTAAACCTTAAACTAGAACTGTATCTTAGACAAAGTGTCCATGCATCCGACACAGCTTGTCTCCCTGTTGCTAAACAAGCGTAAGGCTCCAACTACTCCGGTAGTTGGACCCTGAACCTCAACCCCAAAAGCCCTAAACCCTAAAAACCACAAACCCTAAACCGGGAAGGCTCTTGCAAGATTTGCGCCTGAACATACCCGGGCCTAGGCCAGGGATCCTTTCTTGATCATCAGCTCCCCCGACGTACATGGGATAAGCCCCTAGAATTTAGGGTCTACCTTAACCCCAAATATCCTACTTTTTTTGATTTCCATATTATGATTTCTTTATATAGGTCCTTAACATGGTAGGTTATTTAGGGTTAAGGTAGGGTTTAGGGTCATAGAAGCGAAAGACCCTTCTGTGTGGAACCCTTGAAGGCTTGAAGACTTGAAGATCCCCCAAATCTCCGACTCCCTACACGGCAAGTTGCGCAAGGGCCGTACGCCAATACCCTACTAAGGTGCACACTCAATCCGACGAAGATTGTGGCACCGATGGCCTCCACCACTCCGAACCTTCGTGGTTGCTCAGGCTTTTGAGCACTCCACTCGTAGAGTTTAGGAGCCGCCCAGAGAACCCAATACACCTTAATTAAGGAATATACCTTAAATTATAGGGGCCTTAATAATATGATTTAAAGTATATTCCTTAATTAAGGGGTATTGGGTTCTCTGGGCGATTGTCGGTTAGCTGAAAATTTCGCAAGGGTGTGCTGAGGTGAAAGGCTTCGGCAGTTGAGGCCGCGGCTGATATTGCATCCAGTAGAGTAGGAAGCCAGCCAGAACGCCGACCACGAGGAAGATGTTCAGACAAACGTAGAAGGCAATGACCACGTTCCTCGAAGCACGAGGCTCATGGACTAGGGCAATAAGGGCTTTTACTTTCAATGAGGAGAGCTGGGCGCTCTCGAACCTTACGGCTTTAAGGACATGTTGTGGCCTTTGGGCCCAGACCCCATACTTTCGATTGCCTTTGCCTTTGAGCTGTTCTAGTAACCTTCTGGCAAAAGCCCAACTAGCCAGTCCCCAAACCCCAAACCCGGAACCCTGGATACTTGGGACAGCTGTCTGCGGCTCTTTGTAACCCTAAACCCTAAACCCTAAACCCTAAACCCTAAACCCCACAAAGGCCCACAACCCCGTTTTGTAGACCCCAGAAACACCTACAAACCCCAAATGACACCCCGGAACACCCTAAACCCCCAAACTCACAAAAACCTTATGTGGTCCAAGTGCCTAATAGCCATATACTCTCCCAAATATTAACCTATAGCAACCCAAGAACCTTCTTATTGGGTCCTTTGGACCCTTAGGGTGACACCCTAATGTAGGGCCTCAGTAGTTAGAATGGGTTTTCCGGGGTAGCCTACATTAGAATTATAACAAAATCGTATAGGTAACTATTAAGGCCTAAACCCTAAACCCTAAAGCACTTCCTAAACCTCAGCCCTTTTTGGGTCAACGACAACAACGGCCAGGTCGCTGCGTAAAGAACGCGACGGCCAGGAGGGACGTCGCCATGGAGCCGCCGAAGGCCATGAAGGTACTTTGAAGAACCTCAAAAGTTGCGGGTTAGGGGGCTTAGTGGCTTAGGATCTAGGAGCTTAGGGTTTAGATAGGAGCTAAACCCTAAACCCTAAACCCTAAGGTTTAGGGGTTTAGGGTGCAGGGGATGAGGGCTTTGGGCCATGAAGATAGTTTCACGGTTTAGGGTTTAGGGTTTAGGGTTGGATTTAATGTAAGGTTTCCGAAAGCGGTAGCCGGGTAGCCTATCGGTACTACAAGGATATCCTACCGCAATACCGGGTAAGACAAGCCATAAAGTTGCCGTGAAGAAGCTCAAAAAATCAAGGAAATAACGTATGTTGAAGAATCTGAAAGGATTGCACTTTGATCCTGAACCTAAACCCTAAACCCTAAACCCTACTTCCTTCAAGGGTTCCTGCAGAGCTTCCTTTGACATGTGTAGGAAGCGTTTGAAGGTCTAAGAGTACGGTATGTCACAGGACCTTGTTGCTGAAAGCCCTGACCTAAACCCTAAACCCTAAACCCTAAACCCTAGGCTCTGAGGCCTCACATTTTACGGCTTCCGGTCCTAAAGGCCATACTACGGCGGATGATATAAATCCTGCACTGCCCCAATGTGAGGAACTATACAATAATTCCCTTTAGGCTTTAGGGTTTAGGGGTTTAGGGTTTAGGGGTTTAGGGTTTGGGGTTTAGGGTTTAGGGTTCAGGGTCCTTAAGGTAGTGATTTAGATCATCAACAGTTTCTACTGCTCTTGGGCTGTTTTGAGCCTCAGGGCCCCAGCTCAAAATAGGTCGAAAGCGCCGCAAGGGATGGTGCTCAAAGATGAGTCCTTACAGCCTTAGGGTTTTGTTAAGGTTTAGGGTGGGTCCATGTACCCAAATAGTATATACTTTGGCCTTTAAAGTAGTCCCTAGGGCCAAAGTATATGCTATACGGGTACATGAACCCTAGACCCTAAACCCTAAACCCTAAACCCTTAATTAGGCTTAGGGCAACTAAATCCTTCGGGGTTTTTGTCGCCACTTAACCTTTAGGGCTCAAGGCTGAGAGGGCGTCGGTTTCCCCCCCCGAATGCCCATTTCATGCAAGGGTGGCCGTACGGCCCTGAATAGTGGGTTTAGGGTTAAGGGTTTAGGGGTTTAGGTTCTAGGGTTTAGGGTTTATAGGATTCAGGGGTTTAGGGTTTAGGGTTTAGGGTGTAGGTATCTAGGCGACAATAGAGGGTACGTCGAAGAACCTCAAGGGGCTTGGTTCTCTGTGGTTAAAGATGTATACTGGCATTTTGTGCGTTAATTTAGTTCTCTAAATTATGGTCCCTTTTAAGGTCCTTTTTATACGGGTGCCGGACTATATCCGGGACCTAAACAGGGGACCCTAATTTAGAGAACTGCCCATATACGCCTTAAAGATAACTTTCAGAACCTCTCCGAGGATTACGTCTTTCCAGGACTAGGCTTTGGGTTGGCTGACTTCGGAAGCCCTCCGAGAAAGTTAAACTTTAGCAAAAACCATCTTTTATAGTCTATATAGACGCCCTATAAGAGTCAAAGTCCTAAGGGGCAACCAGAAGAACGCCCAGTTGGGGTTGGGTGTTGAGGTTCAGGATCCTGGGCCGCACACCCTCAACCCCCAACTCCGACCCGAAACCCTGGCCCTAGACCCTAAACTCTTATACCCTACACCTTGAACCCAAAACTCTCAAACCCTAAACCCAAAACCCTTACAGCCCTAGACCCTAAACCCTAAACTCTTAAACCCTAAAGCCTAAACCCTAATCTCTTGAAACTAAATCCTAAACTCTTAAACCTCAAACCCTAAACGCTGAACTCTTAAACCCTGAACCCTAAACTCTTAACTAAACCTACCTGGCTTTCCAACTCCATCTGCGTGAAGAAGTAGGACACCATGAGCATGGGACCGACCTGGCCAAAAGATTCGAGAAGGGACTGTTTGGGGTTTGGGGTTTAGGGTTTGGGGTTTTGACAAAGACGGACTGTATTCAGGGCCAACACAATTCGAGGAGAGATTCTCATGCCTGCGAGGGCTAGGGGACCACAGAAAACCCAGCCTTGAACATCCTAAACCGCGGGCATTGCAGAGGAAGAGGACTACTTTTCACGGGCCAAGATCCCATGGTACTAACAAGAGTCGCCGACAATAATTCCGGATCAGGGGGCCTGACTCGATTGCTTTAGGGATCGGGTTTAGGATTGAGGGTTCAGGGTTAAGGCCAGAGGAATGTGAGACCAGTGTTCGTGGTTTGGTCCATGGGGGCTGAACCCAAGCCCTGAACCCCTAAAGCCCTACGACCCTAAAGCCCGAAAGCCCTAAACCCCTAAAGCCCTAAAGCCCTAAAGCCCTAAACGCTGGACCCCAAACCGTGGCTCTACACCTGTGCAACTCAAGGGCTCTAACTTCTCCTAGTCCCTGTAGAATTAGTTCCTAGAGACTCCAAAACTTTCAAGGGTTCTTTAATGGGTTCCTTTAAAGGGGTCTATCAGGCTACAAGAAGGCTAAAGCCTAAACCCTAAACCTAAACCCTAAAGCCTCTTTAAGGTTTAGGGTTTAGGGTTTAGGGCTTCATTGGAGACTCCACAACTCCTTGTTTCAGGAATAGACTTTAAAGGGCTCCGTAAAGGTTCCTGAAAGGGACCTATCAGGGAACTAAGGAGTATACCTAAAGTCATATCAGGGACCCTATTTACAATCTAAGGTATTCCTTGGGTTTGGGAGTCTCGAGGGTTAGGGTTCAGAGTGTTTACGGGTTATGGCATGGTTAAGCACTACCTGGAAACCCCAAAACCACTTGTCTATTGAAATATACAGTGAAACCATACTCAGGCGGCGTAGGGCTTTCGGGGTTTATCTAGGGATGTGGGCCACGGGTCCATTCGGCAAAAGTGCAACCCACAGGGGTCCCCTCCACAAGGGCCCCTTATCATCCCTGTGATAGAAGTCGTAGGTTTCAGGAAACCCTAAACCCTAAACGCCCGAAACGCTAAACCTATAGAAGTACTAGGGTTTAGGAAGCCCTAAACCCTAGTAGGTAGTTGGTGCCGCAGGTAAGCCTTCTGGGTCTACGGCTTTCGGATCTAGAGTCTCAGCTCCCTCTTCTTTTAGACTTTGACCATCAACCCAACATAAGGGCCTCAATACTTAGGACAGATTTCTGCGTAATTATATCTATGATTGTGTTTGTATATATATATATATATACATATCTATATATATATATATTTTTTTTGGGGGGGGGAGGGAACCCTATGGAGTGATGTGGGCAACTACCCGGGCTTCTCTATAACTACTTTCTTGCAGACATGACGCGCTCGCAGGAGCGATCGCATTTCGGTTCTCGACCCAAATGTCCCACTTCTGTCGCACTTCTTCCCTTGGCACGGGGGGACGGCATTCAGGGGACCTAAACAGTATATCAGACATGTCCTGTGAGGGGTGATCCTCATAAATGCCCTCCTAAACCGTAAAACCCTAAACCCTGCGCTCGCGCCCTGCGCTCGAAATCAACAGATCTCAGACCCAAGTCCAAAGTCTTAAAAGCTCCAAACTCGGTTTAGGGTTTAGGGTTTGGGGTTTAGGGTGTAGGGTTTAGGGTTTAGGGTGATTAACACGCTGAACTCTTCAAACCCAACCCTCACCCTTGAAGCCGCAGAACAAGATCTCATCGAACCCTTGATATGGCTCTTTGAAGGAGCCGTAGAGAAGCTTAGGGTTTAGGGTTTAGGGTTTAGGGTTTAGGGTTTAGGGTATAGAAGAGTTACGGGAACCCTTATACTATAACTTGTCGATACCCTTAAACAGATCCAATAGTAATCATAAGTAGAAGCCCCTTTTCCTATGGATCCCTGTTCCGGAAGCTGAACCCTAGACCCTAAACCGTGAGCCCGAAACCGTAAGTCCTAAACCTGAAACCCCCAAACCCCAAACCCTAAACCAACACCTGAAACCCCCAAACCCCAAACCCTGAACCCTAGACCCTGACATGATAGATCCCTTGATACGAACCCTTTGGAACCCTTCAACTAAACAACGCTTAAATCACTTGTTTATAGGAACCCTAAACCTTAAAACCTAAACCCTAACCCGTAAACCCGTAAACCCTAAACCCTAAACCCTAAAACCCCGAAAGATTGCCTTTATAGCAACCATTACAGGAACCCCCATAGATCCCTTTAAACAGGAACCCTTAGGCCTGGCCGGCTCACCGCGCTATCAGAATCCCAGGAACTCTTAAGGAGTCTCGGCTGTTTTGGGGTTTTTGGGTTTTCAGAGTTTAGGGTTTAGGGTTTAGGGTTGAGGGTGTAGGACTGAGGGTTTCGGGCTTAGGGAGTAGAGTTTCGGGGTGTAGGATTCGGTGTCTAGCTGTTTAGGGCTTCGGGTGTTACTCTAAGGGTCCGTAGGCCCAATAACGCGGTATGTAATTGTTAGGACTGGGACCCTTATTGTTGGGCATCGTAGAATCGGAAGAGCCGTTTGCAAACGAACTCGAAACTCCCTAAACCACACCCCGGAAGATGCCCGTAGTCCATGTTCATCCCTTCGTCTTCCGCTCCCAAACATGCGGCGATTCTCAACGTGAGAGGTGCAGTTTCGGGGTCTATGGTTACAGCATCCTGACATGCGGAGTCAAGGGCCCAAGGGTCCCGTATCAACTCAACTCAACCAGCTGTCTTGGCACTGAAGAGGTTCGCCGCATCATAAGCCTTAAACTCGAAACCCAAACTGCATGGCAGCAGACCTAAAACCCTAACCCCTAAACCCTAAACCCTCAAAAAGATCAGAGAAAGGTGCCGGTACTCCGCATCATCATTGGCTGCAACGTTGATCTTCATCCTCGTCCAGGAAGCTTCGGTAGGGGGGGGATGTGGTTGTTTATAAAGGATGCTATATGCTTCTCCCTAAAGGTCCATGTACTTGGAGGATCATGGGACTTAGTAACTCTGGTTATAAATAAGGTAACTACACTTACAAGTAACTGTAACCCCAGTTAAGATAGTCATAACCTTACTTACTAAGTCCCGTGATCCTCCATGTACTCAAACAGTAAATACTTTGGCCTTAAGGTAGTCCCTATATAGGTACTTTGAGGCCAAAGTATAGACTATATGGGTACATAGACCCATATGCCCTAAACCCTAAACCCTTATGGTACTCAAGGAACCCTTAAAGGATACCCCAAACCCTAAACCCTAAACCCTAAAGAGCACCCTTATACTATTTGGGTACATGGACCCTTAGGGTCTTGAAAATAGGCATCTTGTCCACGGGGCCTTGTGGCAGGATCCTATCGGTTTAGGGCTTAGGGTTTAGGGTCTATGTTAGGGTCCCTGGTCAATGTATCAACCGCAAATCCTTTCTGTAGCCTTCTTCCACATTCGAAACCCGCATTGTGAAGCCATTTTTGAAAAACCAAAACGCTTATGAAGCCTTCTAGGCCTAAGAACTATTCAAAGTAAGAACTCATCGCAGTTAGAGGTCAAAGAACTCGAAAAGTTGTGGTTTGAGATGGTTTGATAGTTTGAAGTTTCAGGGTCTTACGGTGTATAAGGGGGTTTAGGGTTTAGGGTGTCGTTGGTTTCTGGTTCTGGGTTCGCGGTTGATAGAAAAGCAAGTGAGCCTTAGTGCACATACAAACAGTGCCAAGCCCGGCTACGGTAGGGTTGTAGGTCCCAAATAATACAATCTGGATCGCTTCTTACGGTATCTAAGACCCTTCCCCCAATGATTATTTTGCACTTGGGCCCTCATGATACGAGCCCTCTAGAACCTTGCAACCTGTGAGAACCCCTCATGAACCCTACCATGTGGTTCTTGGATCCGCCAGAAGAGCCATGCACGCAGCCACTGACCATGCACACCCTAAACCCTAAACCCTAAACCCTAAACCGTGGCAACTGGTCGGGCTTGAGCTCTTCTCGCTAAGGGTAGACTTGCTGGCCTGCAGCAGCTGTGCTTTTGCAGTGACGACTCCACTGAAACTTCCATTTAGGTATCCAGTCCGCGCTGCCTTCTTCCATCCCATACACTCCGGTTGCATGTTCCCTAAACCCTACAGACCCTTCATAATACAACGGCCTCAATGATTGGCCTCGAGTCTTGGGTATGTTCTAGTAGGAGGCATAAGGAGATAGTATGTCTCATAACTCCAAAACCTCAAAAAGTTCTCTGAACAGCCCAAAGCCCTGAAGAAGTGAACTTGCGCTTCTCTTCCAGGTCTTTGCAACAGTTTAATGTAGGGGCAAAAATAATTACCTATACTATTTTGGGTGTTCCTTATTGTAATTATAGTATAGTGGGCCCCAAAACCCTATTCTAATTGTTAAGGCCCCTATATTAGGAGGATTTTGGGGTTTTGGGTTTAGGGGCGTAGGGGTTCGCGGTTTAGGGTTTAGGGTTTGGGGTTTGGGGTTTGGGGTTTGGGGTTTGGGGTTTGGGGTTTGGGGTTTGGGGTTTGGGGTTTGGGGTTGAGGGTATAGGGGTTTAGG